TAAAACATCAACAGAAGCCTTATTAATAAAATCCCACAATTAACAAATACACAGCTCTGTATGTCTTTGATTGTTATTTCCACAGACAATCGTAATCCAATGCAAATATTTCTCATAATATATTCCACCTTTTCATATTTATTCACTTTGTTTTTTTCTGTTCAGCCATAAATAATCTGTATATTCATGCAGATTGATATGCACATGCATGTCATCACTATCAATTCTAAAACCTTTACTGTTAAAACTTGTGTACCAGTGACTGAAACATCATATGTTCTAAGAAAATGATTTTCCTCACAGTAAAAGCTGTAACATTTAATAAAATAATACATATAACCCTATCGACATGGGGTTATGGGTCAAAGGCCCTGTCATCTTGCTTGTTGACTCCCATTCAAAATTTTATTGAATCACTATTTTCTGAATTTCTATCAATAAGTTTCATATCAAATTGTAGATTATAATTCAAATTTTAGTATTATACATTAGTTAACTTATTTAAAACTAAATATTAAAGAACATCCCTTAATATCAATTTTTGTGTATCATGTGGTATGTTCAATGCAGCATTGGTTCAAATTAGATGTTTGTGATGTCCAAATACAAAGTCTATAGTTTCTTACAAATTAGGAAATCAAATTACCAATATTGACAAGTTAAAATATAAAATAAGAACCTTCTAGCTTTTCTATTTGTCGAGATATTGCTAATTTAGTGACTCAAACACATTGTCCCCGCCCACCTCTTTCCCATTTTGTAAATGCTTACGTACACCCACTTCAGTCTACGACGTGTGAATAACCAATCAAAAGCTCACATTGTTCCCCCTAGTAGCTTTCTCAGACCTTTTGAATTTTTTGGGTGGCAAACTCTCTTTTTTATGCTGGATTCAAAGTGGTAAGATAAAACTTTTGTGGGCTTGATATTTCATATTTTATAAGACCCAAATACGGCTTAGTTACTAAGCTTGATAGATTATAGTGGAGTTCTATGGTATTGATATAGTAATTTATGATTTTTGGTTATTTCAAAATGTATTTATAAAACCTAAAAAAAAATATTTCAATTTCACTTCCTCCACATGCAAAATTTGATAAGGCTTAACAACCTAGGGCAAGCAGCAAACAAGTACAAATTCATAACTACAACAGATAATTGTTTGATATACTTCTTTATTTACTGTTCTGTTTTAAGAAAAATAACTTTTAAAAACTTATTTCTGAATAGTAATAATGTATACACATATATAATGTATTATAACTGAAATGTGACTATTTTACAAAACACTAGTCCACTGAAACACAGCCAAGATAGGTAACTTGGTAAAAGCCAGTCATACTCTTGGATACAGTAACACAAGTGCATGTGCACTGTGTCATTGCAACTTGTGCAATGTTAGCCAGGCACAGCAGAAAGGTCAATACTATAAAAATAATAGATATATTAATGTATAATTATGAGATTTAAGCTATTTAGACTAAACATTTGTGTTTGTGTTATAATTTGTAGTCATTCTAGAAACAAAAAAAAAAGCATGATTAATATTTATCTCCTAATTTTTTATGATGGTTACGAGGTCGGTCAAATCGACCAAATTTATACAGAGATTTGATAGTGAAAACCATAGATAATATATAAAGTTTTCACATGTCAAATTTGAAAATTTGTTGATGCATAAAAGTATTTTTATCTTGCATGTTGGATTGTCAACTTTCAAAAAGAAAATAGGCATGAGAAAAATGTTACTTAAAAATTTTAAAACTTAATAAAAAAATTATATTTCGCATACGAAAGCCTTGTACTGTTTACTGATAATTGCAAAATTTTGTGAAGATATGCTTACTAATCTAAAAGTTATAGCATGAAAATTATAACAAGCACAAAATGGTTACAAGGTTGGTCCAGGGGACCAAACCCATGCCGAAAGAAATAATCAGCAAGTAAACTCAAAACGAAAATATGAATTTTTTTTTATACATTGTGTGCGTGTTTGTATGATGTTTGTAACACCTCACCTTTTACTTTCCTTTTTTAGTTCTGGTGGAAATTGCCAACGGCACTGGGACACCTAAAACCTAACTTTTTTTATTAAGCCAACAAAATAAAAAATAGCATACAAATTTGGTTCTACATTGTACTTTATATTGTATAGAACAATATTATAAACATAATCTGTAATTGACAGGCTAGGATTGCAATATAACTTTCATGAGGACTGACCCTGCAGAAAAAAAAAATTAATCCTAAAAGTTTTACACTTTTTCTTCCAAAAATCTCCACAGAATGTAAACTCATGTTTACCAATCATCTCCATTTTTAACTGTGTTGTTTGCATGAGCTGAGCATGTTTCATAATGAGCCCTTTCACATAATCTTTAGAATTATATCTTGTAAAAAATCCAAATTGTAATAAATATATAAAAAGACAGTTGTGTTTTTATTTATTAGTATTATGCTAAGATTTTGTGGATAATTTATTGGATCTTGCTAGTATTTTGTTAAAAGGGCAAGAGAGGTCTGCTGGTCCATTCATGTTGCCTTATCCATTGATTAATTAAATTATCAACTGCTTTCATATGTCACTTTGAGTATTGCATTCAGTTGTAGATTCTGTCTTAAGAAGAACATTAAATTATTGTTAAACATTTTGCAAAGGAGGTTCACTGTGATGATACCTGGGATGAAAAGGCTGGTTAAAATCTTAAATTGTTTTCTCTTCAAAAAGGAAGAGTGAGAGGGTATCTAATTGAGGTGTTTAGAATTGTTAAGGGGGTTGATAATGTCAATACATCATCTTTTTTCACACCTAATGGTAAGACTAAGTGGGAAATTTTGACATGTTTGGAATAATTTTCAGCTTAGGCAGTTTTGTTTTTCTAACAAGGTGGTTGACCTTTGGAATGGATTGCCTTCAAACGTGGTAGATGCATTAAATGTAAGTGAAGGATTGGTAAATATTTAAACTGATCAGGGCTGGATTTGTGTTATTTTTTTAATGGGCAGACAGTAATTGAACTGTTCTATCTTGATAAATGCATTTTCTCTTTTATAACTCCATCTATCTCAAGAAATCTAGCTTCTATATAGGCTAGATAATTTTTTCCTGTAATGTAAAAGAAATATGTCATTTGTTTAATCCATTTCTCTCCTACAATAATCAAAAAGAATTATCTCCTAAACATTTTCAGATGTTCTGTAATATTGCAGAAATACAAACAAAAAAATAACTTTCATGACCAACGTGTATTTGCCTGTACAAGGCCACATCCCCTAGCATCCCTGCCACTAAAATCAAGGGTGCGAGCATGCATGCTGTAAAACCTTATGTGTAGCAGGTTTGCACTAAAGTAAAAACAGTGCAGGATCACCTAGCCTAGAGCCAAGTGCACAAAATTTATTCTGAAAGTCAAAATATCGATTCAATTTTAAGCTTATATTGTTTCTGAATTAAGCTGTTTTCTGTTATATCACCAATGTTTTTAACACAAAAACAAATCTCTTTAATCAATGGAAACTACGTTAAAAAATCAACAAATATTTTTCTAGGTTTGTCTATACATATCATTTTCACTGATACTGATAAGACTAACAGTTATACATTTGTTGCTAATGGCATAATGCTAAGCAATATGACATAAAAGCAATTGTTAGAATGTAGTGTTACCAAAACGCTCTGGCTTTTACCAATAATTATTCTATGGATATGCCACGAATTCATTTCATGAATGATCTTAATTTTTAATTGGCTCACAAAGGAATTTACCGACGTTTGACTGCCTCGATCGCACTTTTTTGCTTTTGTTGGTCAAGCTTGATTTCACAAAAACTTATTTCAGTTATCTGTTACGTTAGTTAAATTTATTAATAACTTATCGTTTTTCAACAGTTAAAACTTAGTAACAGTACAATAAATACTTGTCTCGTAATAATCGCTGTATATAATTAACGGAGTAGTTTATTGGTTCATTTACTACCATTGTACCAATACCATGTGACTAAGTTTTCGGTCAAAGATTTGGTAATTTTTTTTTATCAACTATAAAGACGACTTTGTAATTTTTTTATGAAAAATGTTAAATGTATTTTATCAGAAAACTTCAAAGAAAGTCACGCGTTTATTTGTAATAATTTTATCGCCTTATTCCTCTTTGAAAGTAGTGCACTTCAAGTTGCGCATGCTCAACGATACTGCCCAAATTCGCGGGAAAAAGTACGGAACAAGTATGTACTATAGTATAACTTAAGTATAAAAATATTTACATAACTAATAGTTTTTAAATAAAATGCTCGAATGATTCTAATATTTTTTTAAAATTGATTCTTAATTTACTATGCCCAGTAGTGGATCAGCACTAAGTCTAAAAACGTGGTTTCGATACCCATAGCACTAGTAGTCATGCTCACACTCACAGTACAGATAATCCAATTTGTACTCAAATTGTAGTTTTGACAGTCAGTTTCACAAAATACATGCAAATAAATATTTGCCAAACTATACGTACTAATCAAAAATTGTAAGCCATTTTGTGCACTGTAATAGACTATGAGTCCCGGTAAACAATGTAAACTGCTGTTTCACAAATAATATATGATTACGCTCATTTCTACTAGAGTAGAACTCTGGAAAACAGCTCTATGGCCCGGTATTGATCGTCATAAGCTTTGAATATGATAATATCAAAATTGAGGAATTAAATGGGAAAACATGTTGATGTTTAATAATATTAATAGTACTAACAAATAAACAGTTTCAGTCATTTTCCTTTTATTTTGAAGATAAGTTTTATATTCTATTTTCTTTTTTTACTAAATCGCTAATAGTAATACGTTACACCATGTTACAATTTACATTACTAACCATATTATAAATTATAATGCAAGTTATAAGTAGAACCTAACAACTTAATTTAAAATTAAACAAGAATTGTAGTTTTTCATATACATTAATGAAATCTTAAAACTGGAACGTAAAAAGCTAAAAGTATATCTAACTTTACCAGTGTTCAATAACAACACGAGCGTCTTTCCTAGTTCTTTTCTCTTTGGTAACATTCTCGTTTTCAGTTTTGTCTTTCCCGCGCTTTCCTCTTGCTGGCCTTTTTGTGGCAACGTCACCTTGTGCTTGCTCCACTGGTTCTTCTACCTCTTTGTTCACAGTACTTGCTTTTTCTTGATGTTCACTGTCTGTCTTGGTATCCTTCTTTTCGCGTGATTCTGGTTTATTTTCCGATACGTTACTTTTCACATCCCCATTTTGTTCTTCTACTGATTCGACATTTTCAGTTTTATCTGTTTCCGATGCTTTCTTTCCTTTCTTTGCTACTCTACCTCGGCCACCCCGACGTCCAGCCATTTCTATATTAAGTTAAATATAACGGAGAACAATATCTTCGACTTACGTTAACAATCAACGCGTTGCGTATGCAATCCTGGATTATATCAACCTACTTGAGCGGGAATACGAAAATCTAGATAGAACCGGCTAAGAGCAGCTCCAGCTAGAAAAAGGTAATCAGAAAATGTGAGGCATGAGAGGTACTGCACAACGACCGGAATAGTGTTACCTTCTTCGGTAACATGTCATGATATTTCAATATAAATATATATGTATTTTTCTTTTACTAGTGTGAAAATTCATACTTCAACATTTATTTTTAAACACAAAAAATTGGAGTAAGTTAATGAGGTATGTTAAATTCAGAATTGCAAAGTTGTAATTTTAATGCTGATATACACTCAGTGTCGGGTTTTTCACAATCTGTTTTCAAAGGTATTAAAGCTACTTGTGGTGTGTACAAGTAATTTATTATTACAAATACTTTTGAAATTATATACTAAAAGGAAAGCAGTTAGTCAACACCACCTACCGCTAACTCGTGGATTATTTTAATCGAGTAGTGGGATTTTACATAATCTCGGATTCACTGCCCTGCATTCACTTCTTGACCGTAATCAGCCCTATAAATTAGTAACCTTAAACAAAATCGAAGGTTTCTATAGTAAGACAATGGGTATTTTGGGGTTTTCTCTTTACATTTTGATTTTTGTTCAATGAGGGAAAGATACCCTTTCAAAGCGGACTTCTGTGAGGAATTTACCATATACCAAATATGATGTAAGTATTTATGTGTTCCCGTAATTTGTGGTAAGTTACAATTTACAGGATTGAATTTAATCAACTCAGTATGCATTTTAGCTGTTTATACCAATATAGATTTCATATATAATATCAAATTTCTTAAATGGAAGTAACTACATCGGCCAAATGTAAAAGGCATGATACATAAAGCCTTATATGTGAGAATTCTGCTTCATTGCTTGGTAATTCATTAAGCACGCCTTGGATTAAAGGCCGAAAAAAAAACTGCTTACAGTTACAGCGAAGGTACCCAACTGATAGCTTAATTAACGAAAAGTAATTATAGTAGTTTGCTTGTTACTCATAATTAAAATTATTTGTTATGTTTTCAGCAATTCTTCTGGTACAAGCTATTACATAATTCGTTTGAATAAAGGGGTGTAACTGGATCACCTTCTCTCTCTCCAGAAGTGTGATTGCTTTACAAATCAATAAAAAATGCGAAGTTCACTCGAACCACAGTCAAAAACAACACCGATATAAACTTAAATAATCGTGAACTACACTTTAAATATAAAAATGTTACGTCTCCGTTTGTTAATTGATTTTCCGTAACTTCGTTCCGACGAAACTTAAGCGACACAAGTTCTTTCCGAATATAACTCTGCGATACACTTAATCTCAATACTCGCGCTAAAACAACACTGTAACGAACGAACGTTAACTTCAACAATACCCTGTGACTGCAGTTCAATTACTCACTATCTATCTACCCAGACACGTTACATTCCC